TATAATTTACACTATAAAAGGCTAATTCAATATTATCATCAAACCACAATATCTTATTAAGTATAGTACTGCCTCGTTGGTCTAGTGGTTGTAGTAGTGCGACTGCTCATCATGAGGTCCCGGGTTCGAATCCTGGGTCGGGCCAAAAAGTCAGTTATGAGTTTTTCATTTATGTTCTAAAATATAATTAGTATTACTAAGTTATAGCTTTTTGCTAAAATATAGTATATTATTTATTGCTTGTTTTTTCTTCTTTTTCAAAAAATAATTGAGTACATAAGATGTTCTATACTTATATTTCGGTAAAAAGTATCTAAGTAGGTACTAATATACTTACTTTTTACTATTAACTAAAAATTTTTAAAACTAAATTTAACTAAAAAGACTAAACTGACCATTTATTTTTTAACTCAAAACAGGACATGGGTTTATTTATACTCTAAAAACTATAACTTTATACAATTAGTGTTCACTGTAAAATTATATTCGGTATAGACGGTAATTATTAAATGCAACATATTTTTTTTAATTATTAATTATATTTGTCAGTGGATTAAATTTGCTTTAATAAAGTTCGTGATGATTTTAAATAAAAATAAAATTCTGCTCAAGTTTTTTTATTGTTATCTTTGTTAACATCATCGCCTTTAGAACTCTGGAACCGTAAGTGTTTCTTTCAGACGTCAACAATTTATTCAAAATAAAAAAATACTCTTTTTACCGGAGCATTCGTACCAGGTAGACATAAAATATATTCGATTTAAAAAATTATGTTGAAGATTGTTGACTTTGAATACTTCCATCCAACGAGTTACGGGACAATTTTGTGTCCCGGAGCTTTGTTTGGGGACAATGGGACAGGTGACCGAGAAAAGGGACAGTCCCATTCAAAACGGGACGAATGGTCACTTTAGCTATAACCCGGCGACGGCTCCGTGGCGCAGTGGCTTAGCAATCAGTTGTTGCGCTGGGGGCCGCGGGTTCGAATCTCGCACGGAGCAAGTATTTGTATGGCCTACAAATAATTGTTCCGGGTCTGGATGTTTGTCCTTGTGCAATTTATGTTTGTAAACTGCCTCCACGACACAGGAGAAAATCCTAGTGTGGGGGTAACGTTTTTTTACAATTGAAACTGCAAGATTGAACCCTTATACTTATTGTTGATTTTTGTATTACCTTTATTAAAGTTACCCTTATGTATAAATAAATATATTTACGTATGTAGAAATAAAATTGATTTTCATCCTCATCAATCATTGGGGCGAGGATAATGTCTGCCAGCATAAGTAATAAGCAGGCTAAGTTACAAGGTGCTCAGTTCAAAAATTTGTAGGTAGGTAGATATGCTACTTTTCAATACGTGACACGTAAAAATTAACAATAATCAAAAACACATCTACGAAACATCCTATTTATTTATTTATTCTTTATTGCACCAAATATTTGTACAAAAGGCGAGCTATCTATTTATTTACCTATAGTGAATAGGTATCTTTTAAACTGACAATTTTCAATACTTCATTTTTAATATCTAATTAATTATAAAATTTCATAATTGGATAATATATGCAAATACATAATTCTAATATTATAATGCAACTAATATACCGAATAAAAAAATTAAAATACATTTATCGTTGTACGCTGTGTGTATTTCCATAAATTAGTTTATTGATGTTGAAAAAATAATACTACGTAATAGGTAGCGTCTTACATATTTCAAATAAGCAATATATTGAAGCGAGCGGCGCGCCGCCGACAAATGCTCAAGGTCGTTCGCATGGAGTAGTCCCTTAAGAGTACAACATAATTATTTGGTTTTTAATACTACGCTGTCCACATAGATCTTATTGAAAGTGTTCAAAAGAAAGTTGTATCAATCCTGTACTATAGGTATCGTTGAAGTTGTATCGTAGGAATTGTATGAAGAGAAACTTAAAAATTTTACAATTATGTCACTACAAACTTGGTATAAATATCAAATTCATTTGTCAAGATTAATACTCCCCATCGTCGCTATACTTTTGTTAAACACTTTTGCTTTGCAAGAGACATAATACATCCTATTATAATCCTCTACTAAGATTGTTTCGCCCCTACAATGACTTATTGATTAATAATAATAAAAATATCGACATATTTAATAATAAAAAACACAATTTCAAAAAGTTCGTATTAGATATATTTTGTAAATAAGGCATTCAAGGCTTAAAATTTAAATTTAAATATAGAGGTTTATGAACATTATTTTAATAAAGATTTAATTTTTCTAAATTTTCCACAACTTAAGTTTATAATTATATATTATGTACGTTTTTATGTAAGATTATAATAATTTGAGCTGTAAACTCGTTTAATATCATGTTGTGTGCACAGGTTTTGGAATACCATCCAGATTTTAACTGCATTTATTATATTCAATTGTTCTTGTCTTGATTTGATGTTATGCTGTTTGGTGTACCTAAATAAATAAATAAAATAAAATAGCTACAGCTAAATAATATAATAAAGTAAAATGGCCTTTATCAGGCATTGCGAAATTCATAGAAATAAATATACAATATAATGTCACATTCAGAAGTTGTAGGTTTGATTCTCCAAGCACAGAATTTCCGGAGGCTATCAATTTTTCAAAGCCTTTTGAGTGGATTAAGAAATATTATAATCTCCTTGACGTTTATAATTTCATCCAATTTTTAGACACCCTTAGGGGTGGAATTTTATTACATATGGGACCACCCCGAAGTATAATATCGGTTCACAATTGACAAAGATATCGCGAAACAAACATAAGCCGGACAATAAAAATATTTAAATGCATTTCAAGAAAATAGAGGAAATTGTTTATTAAATTTAACATTTAATTTATCTGAGAATTATTGTAACAATGGCCGACGTTTTTTTAAGTCTCTAAATTTAGAATTTACCATTTAATTAAAAGCCACAACATATTGTTGAAAAACAATAATTATAAAAGTAATATTTAGAACACGTAGTTTGTAAAACAATATTATATTGAATAAAACTACTTTTATGGATTTAATCGCGTTTAATTATACTTATTTGTAAATTCCCGAAGTTTCGAGTGCTTTTCAGCACCCATGGTCTCGGAGAACTGAGGTGACTGACGTCCCGATGTCAAAGTTAACCCGGAGTACCTTCAGCTTTTTAGTTAATAGTTTTTGGTTCGGACGACGCAGAATGAATTTACTGTGTCTTGAAGTCTTGCAGTGGTATGGCTTGGGTTTAGTTTTAATTTTATTAATAACAGGATCCGACGCAGGTGGTAGACCCAGCCTCTCTCTCTATTGAAATTATGATTTGTTTTTAATTTCACGTTTATCTCACGTATAATCCTTGGCAGGAATCGATGTTCTTTAGCGAAAATTTGTGGTCTGTCAAATCTAATGTATTGGTAGGGGCCGTCTAGGATATGATCACAAACTGCAGACTTCCCGGAACGTTGGTGCTTCACGTCAGCTATGTGTTCTTTTACGCGGGTTTTTATAGATCGTTTTGTTTGCCCTATATATGAGAGACCACACTCACAATTAAGCTTGTACACTCCTGCATCTTGTAGAGGAATATTGCACTTGACGGATGGTAAGAACTGACTAATCTTCTTCAGCGGCTTGAAGAATGTTCTAATAGAAGCTCGCTTCAAGATGTAGCCAATCTTGTCTGTGACACCTCTGACATACGGTAGTACAGCAGGCACACGCTCGACTGTGGCCGGCTTCACTCGGTCACTGTGACGTAGGCGCGGATCCCGAAGCTTGTTGTCCTGCAGAACCTGCTTGACGTGCTGAAGCTGAAAGCAACTGAAACGTCGGGAATATAAAATAAGTTAATTAAACGCGATAAAATCCGTAAAAATAGTTTTATTCAATCATTTATCTTTCTGACATTGTGCTTTTTATATCATTTGTATGTATAATATAATTGCTGGATACAATTTTATTCGATAAAACGTTGGAATTTTAATTTTTAGGCAATAGTAGAACATACCTTGCGCTTTCGCTTAAGGCATGCAATATTATACCTTAAGTATGGTTTAAAATGCTGATGCGTTTTGTATATTTAATTTTATCCTTTTGTGCCAACCCTACCATATAGGTAAAATTTTTGACAGCTCCTTAGAAGCTTTGCCTCTGCACAGTTTCTTATGTGACCCGTATTCACAAACGACACATACATAAGTATGGTAGCAACACTATGCTAAGTAAGGTATTTCTCACTGCGTTCGTCATGGCAGGCCGTTCATTTCATGAACAATACTTAGTGGACTCTTTGTTGTGCGGACACATAGCAGTGAATGGGGCGCCGTGATTGGTTGACGTTGTGACGCGACTTCACTCGAGTTGAATGACAGATAAAAAATAATAACACGTGTTGTTTTCTTTCAGGTAAAAGACGTTACTGGTACTGTTATTATAGGGTACCTATGCATAAGTATTATTAAAATAATGTGGATATGAAAGTGTTGATAGGTAGATTAACTGAATTGTTATTACAAATCTGGAAACTCCCAGATGAATAAAATCTTAAGGCCACTAGTAAGTTTCAAAAGATCTGCATTTATTAGAGGCAGAAGTACATTTATTACGATATCTTTTAAAAACCTATAGTGACTTTAAAATTCATTGGCACTGTAATAATCAAAAGGATTTTGAAAGTCACGTATCACTTTTCTTGTGCTAATCGTTCTTTGCACGTTTATTCTCTCCAGGATATAATTATCTAAATCATCTTCGCTGCTGCAATCTATCGCAATTATTCAAACAAAACAAATCAGCGTATCACAAATCAACAAACATAACCTATATACCCCATACCAGTTGCACATTTGCGTTGATTTGTCGCACTATGCGTAGCGTAAAGTAGTTAGCGAGCTACTTTATCTGTGCGTTCATTATAATGAGCGCATAGTGTCGTCTAACACGCAAGTGACGTTTATGAAACAAAATTTTGTCCACTGTGCCTTAAAGCCTACTGTGCGTACGCATAGTATCGTTCTTGAATACGGGTGTTAGCCGCGTGCGTAGCACATCTGGGTTTCGATTCATTTTATAAATTAAATTATTATATTTTATTGCATTAAATTATTTTAATACGTTTGTGTAGCGTTGTTAATTAATTTGCCACTTATTAAGGAGTGCGTTTGAAACTGGAAGAATGAAATTTTTATTTGTTATACTCGTATTATACCTCTATTTCTGCCACACTTCTGCTGTGTTATTTAGATTAAATAGTAAGTACATATTTTTATTTAACTTTAACTTGCTGTGTCCGCAGCTTCTTTTACATATAATCTTTGTAAGTAATTTATTAATTTTGATGTTTAAATTTGGGCCTAATTGATTAAATTTTAAGATGAGTAATGGAATCAGGCGTTACTTTGCGAATGTACATTACATTACAGACATTACCGATAATATCGATCGGTGGTATGTCTTTCCAAGTGTAGTGGTGTTAGGAGTAGTGGTGCCGGGATTAGTGGTAATGTATCCCCATTACAGTGCACGCAATTGAGAGAGGGCGGAATTTGCCCTTTTGCTCTTCAAACTAGGTAAGACACGGTAAAATGTAAAGAACCGGAGAACCTTTTCACTGGACACGAGGTATCCCACCTTAGTCTTCAAGAGTGATAAGGCATCTGCATTTTAACTCTTAATTGAGGATAAATATAGATGTCTATAGGTCACAGCATCAACTTGCAAATATAACATCTTTTATTATTATAATAATAATATATATAACCGAAATCTACGACTACTGCTATTATGTACTAGCGATACAAATGTTTAAAGCCGCGTCTCCACCAAAGTTTTGTTACCAAATTTTGTGTTGTCAACACGTGTTGGTGACAAATGTTTCCGTAGTTACCTAATGTTGGTAACAAAACTTGTAAACAATGTCGGGAACCGTGTTTCCATTTTCGGCGGCAACATCAAAGAAATACGTTTGTTCCAAACATTTGTTCCCTCTGTGGAGACGCTTATTGGAAACATTTGTCGGCAACATTTGTCGGCAACATATCTGTCACGTGGACTAACGAGTTAATCGACACATTAATTAATTTATATGGTTTACAAAGTATATTATGGGATGTGGGTAATGAAAATCATATTATTACTTATAAATAGATCTAGATAATTAGGTACTTAGTTACTGACGCCATAGTTACAGATTTATTATTGGATTTTTCGATTTTTTCGCGTATAATGCCAATGACCTTAAAAAATCGTTCAGTATAAGTAGATCTACTAATGCAAGATCAGCATATACTGGTTATTAGTTTAAAACTTCTCCTTGCCACTCTCATTAATAATGAAGTCGCGTATTTCATGTTTGCAAATAGCAAAAAATGTGAAACAGACAAGTGACGGCTCCGTGGCGCAGTGGTTTAGTAATGAGTTGCAGCGCTAAGGGCCGCGGGTTCGAATCCCAGACGGAACTAGTAAGCCCTAGGTTTGTTCTATGTATGTAAACTGTCCCTGCGATACAGGAGAAAATCCTAGTGTGGAGTTAACGTTTTTTAAAAAGAGAGGAATAGAGACAACTAATGAAATTAATAATTTTGCCTATAACCGACTTCAATATTAATACGCATTATTAAGGATAACTCCAAAACTACTAGTGTTTTTTTGCATAAAATTATAAATACTGCGGCTGCCTGCATAATATCGTTACTTGAAGACATATTGTTGCCAACAAAACTTTGGTGGAGACAGCAAGTTGTCAACAAAAATGTTTCTCAAATTGTCGACGACTTGTTTCAATTCGGTGCGAAAACATCGGAACAAAAGTTGGTAACTTTTGTTAAATTGGAAACAGTTGGAAAGATAAATGTTGTCAACATTTTCGGTGGATACGCGGCTTAACAAACAACAAGCAATTAGTTACAGCACTAAGGGCTGTAGGTTTGAATCCAACGTGAAACAAGTATTTTTATGGCCTACAAATAATTTTTCCGGGTCTGTATGTATTTTAAAATCCTTGTTGAAAATGTTGGGGTAAAGTTCTTTTTTTTAAAGGAAGTAAAGGAATAACTTTTTAGAAGTTTCTTCTAGAGATTTCAGCCTGACCAATGGAAATTGATTTTCGTAATCAATATTTTTAAACGAAACATTGTTTTAAAAAATGTAGTTATTGTCTACACATAAATTGTCGCTAGCGCTAAAGTTTTATATCATCATCTTGGTGTAACGTATGTGTTGGTGTAACGCAGGTAGGCGTTTTATCTCCTTTACTTTATGCAGTTTTTATAAACTCAATATCAAATAATTTAACTTCTTCCTACCACCTTTATGCAGATATTCTACAAATATGTACAAAAGCTTGTCCCAAGCAGATCTCGAGTAATGCATACGGCCTTCACGTTAACCCAGCAAAATCGCAAGGCATTATCAAGAGCAGCGCGCAAATGGTGGCTAATTCGAGCCTAGACTACCTGCCTCTTATAGTATTTGGTAAAATTATTATTCCTTACAGAGATTCAGTAAAGAACATAGGTATCCACATAGATAAGAACCTGTCGTGGGTACAGCACATCAAAGGAATAATTCGTAAAGTTTATGCCTCGGCAACCTCCTTGAGTAGATAACTTAACTTTCTTCCCATTTCCACCAAAATTATGCTTGCGAAGTCTAGTCTCTTTCCTATTTTTAACTACGCAGACGTCAGCTATCTAAATCTCACCGAAGCTCAGCTTGATAAACTTGAGCGAATCAGAATTTTTGCATAAAGTTTATATTTGGATTAAGCAAACAGTATTCCATGTGAGGCCGATCCTGCGCCTTGTAAAGTTACAAGCGGTGTGTCCGCATGAAATACTGTCCCGCTCTGCTGAGCATGCCAAGCTTTTTAGAGGCCAATTTGGCCTTCTCTTCCTAGTGACCACGAAACTGCATGTCACTCGATATGTCGACACCGAGGATACAGGGGTTCCTTTTAGCAGTAAACGCGCAAACTTGTGTCTTCTGGGAATTGAACTGGACTAGATTTAGTCGCCCCCAATCCGAGACTTTGTTTAGCAAATACTCGACTTCAGACAGAAGTTTGTCCCGGTACTCGGCGACGTTTTCCCGAGATATACTGGCACGGCCGGTGTATAGAGCATCACCAGTGTTGTCATCTGCATAGCATTGTATGTTACCGGTTTGCAACATATCATTGATATGCAGAAGAAACAGCTTTGACGATAGAACGCATCCTTGTGGAAAACCTGTGTTAAATAGACTTGTAATTGGAGTACGCACCTTCTAATACGACCTTGATGCTCCGATCATCCAGAATACTGGTGATCAAATTGCACAATTTCTCGGGAAGCCCATAGGAAGGAGAATGTAGAGTAGGCGAAAGAGGTGTGTCATGATCGTGCCAAATGGAAGTCCGTTGTCTCTGCCTACCACTCTGGTTGACAGCTGTGAGTGTTTATATATATAGTGTAATGATGTCAACATGGTAGCGGAATTACATCATAAACTACCCCAGGAGGGTACTAGTACCCCTGGAGAATCCCTCGCTGAACATCCACGACCATGCTATTCCACTCCTGAGCGTGGGTGCTCAGGCTGCCACGCGTATTCTGGGGGGGGGGGGAGGGGGGGCAAAATTCGGCTCAACACAATAACTGCTCGGGGAAAACTGAGCAACAAGACCAAGGCGACTCCTGCCACGCTATCTGTGAATTTCTGCAACATCAGGAGATTTCACTCGAACCTAAACGCCGTCCACTACCATCTCGAGACGGCGAAGGCCTTGCTCTTTCTGACCGAGACGCAGGTGTCCTCTCCGGCTGATACTTCGTATCTCTCCTACCCGGGGTACAAATTGGAGCACTACTTTGTGCCTCGGGCTGGAGTTTGCGTGTATGTCAGAGAGGACATCTGTTCTCGACGCCTCGGCAGTCTTGAAGGTTCGGACCTGTCCATCCTTTGGCTACGCGTAGACAGCGATGACCATCCGCGCGTCTACGTGTGCCTCTATAGGTCCCATAGCGGTAATGCCGAAACAGACCGACTCACCACGTCCAAATGGCTACAGATTTCTTGCTACAACAGGTCCCATCCGCAGAGATCGTGATTTTTGGCGATTTTAACGCCCACCACGCCGAATGGATCGGTTCACGTTTAACCGATCATGCGGGGAGATCTGTTTATGACTTTGCTTTGGCATATGGTCTGACACAACTGGTTACATCGCCTATGCGTATTCCAGATGTTGAGGATCATACACCTTCCCTGTTGGACCTTCTGCTAACCTCTTATCCGGACGGATATCAGGTTTCCGTCGATGCCCCTCTTGGGTCTTCGGACCATTGTCTGATCCGGAGTGTGGTGCCACTCACGCTCCCCTCGCGGTTGCGTTCTGCAGGTTGCCGCCGTGTTTGGCATTACATGTCGGCGGATTGGGACGGAATGCGGTAATTCTTTGCTTACTACCCATGGGGGCGGGTTTGCTTCTCGCCGGATGATCCCAGCGCTGTTGCTGACTCTGTCACTGATGTGGTGCTACAGGGAATGGAGCTATTTATTCCATCATCTGTGGTACCCATCGGAGGCAGATCTCAGCCTTGGTTTGGTCGCTCCTGTAAGACTGCTTTACGCAGTAAGCAGTTATCAAGCCTGGGCTGCGGCTTCGGCGACTCGGGATGTAAACACCAGCATACTTAAAAAGAAGTATAAATTCGCCTCCAGGTCCTTCAAAAGAGTTATTGCTAAGGCAAAGTCAGAGCACATAGGCAGAATTGGCGAGAAATTAGTTCGCCTTCCTTCGGGATCCCGTGCATTCTGGTCTCTCGCCAAGGCTGTCCAAGGGAATTTCTGTAAGCCATCACTAAGAGAAAGCCGACCTTTTAGGCTCCCTTTTTGCGTCCAACTCGACTGTTGATGATGGGGGGGAATACACCGCCGACCATCCCACGGTGTATGTGCTCCATGCCGGATGTGCTGTTCTCACAGCGCTCGGTTCGCAGAGCACTCCTCTCCCTTGACATCCACAAGTCGAGTGGGTCTGACGGAATCCCCCCAATTGTGCTGAGGACGTGTGCTCCGGAGTTGGCATCGGTTCTAACGCGTCTTTTCCGGTACTCCTACTCCCTAGGCGTAGTACCGAAATCATGGAAGACAGCTTTTGTCCACCCGATCCCTAAAAAAGGCGACCGCTCAGACTCGTCCAACTACAGGCCTATCGCCATCACCCCCTTGTTCTCCAAAATAATGGAATCCGTTATAAACTGCCACCTCATGCGGTACCTTGAGGATCACCAGCTGATTAGTGACCGCCAGTACGGTATTCGTCGGGGTGGATCAGCTGGTGATCTTCTGGTCTACTTAACTTATAGATGGGCGAAGGCAGTAGAGTCCAAGGGGGGGAGGCATTGGCCGTTAGTTTGGACATTACGAAGTTCTCCGATCGGGTTTGGCACAAAGCGCTTCTTTCGAAGCTCCCTTCTTATGGGCTTCCCGAGAAATTATGCAATTGGATCACCAGCTTTCTTGCAGATCGGAGCATCTAGGTCGTTGTAGACGGTGCATGCTCCGACTACCAGCCTATTAACGCTGGTGTTCCACAAGGCTGTGTGCTATCACCAACGCTGTTTCTTCTGCATATCAATGATATGTTGCAAGCCGGTAGCATTCATTGCTATGCAGATGACAGCACTGGTGATGCTCTATACACCGGTCGTGCCAATATTTCTCTGGAAAACGTCACCGAGTACCGGAACAAACTTGTGTCTGAAGTCGAGTCTTTGCTGGACAGTCTCGGATTGGGGGCGACAAAATCTAGTCCAGTTTAATCCTCAGAAGACACAAGTTTGCGCGTTTACCGCTAAAAAGAACCCCTTTGTCCTATCTTCTCAGTTTCAAGCTACTCCCCTTGTTGCCTCAGCCAGTATCGGAATCCTCGGCGTCGACATATCGAGTGACGTGCAGTTTCGTGGTCACTTGGAAGAGACGGTCAAATTGGCTTCTAAAAAGCTTGGCGTGCTCAGCAGAGAGGGACAGTATTTCATACCAGCTCGAATCGTCGACGACCGAGTCCTTTCCGATCGGCTCGACTCATTGGCACTGCGAAGAGATGTTGCATCTCTTTGCATTTTCTTTCGCATTTACCATGGGGAGTGCTCTGAGGAATTGTTCGGATTAATCCCAGCCGCCAAATTTCACGAACGCACATTGCGGCAGAACTTCCGATACCATCCACACCATCTGGATGATTGGCGGTCCACCACTGTGCGGTTTAGAAGATGTTTTCTTCCTCGCACAACTTCCTTGTGGAATAGTTTACCACCAGCGATTTTTCCGGACCGATACGACTTAGGGACCTTCAAGAAAAGAGCCAACTCCTTTTTAAAAGGCCGGCAACGCATCTGCAATTCCTTTGGTGTTGCGGTTCTTCATGGGCGGCGGTAGTCACTTACCATCAGGTGAGCCGCATTCTCGTTTGCCCCCTCTCCTATAAAAAAAATATACAATTTCTCTAAGATAAATAAATTAACGTATTGGTAAATAATTATGAATAACAATTAATAACCGATTTGGCACGATTTAAGTAATCGTAACGACTACTGTGATTTGTTGTTGTGCTGATGTATAAAAGTCAGAAAAATTAGAGCTTACCTCGTGGTTGGTGTGCACTAAGTTCGTTACTCTGTTTAAAGTACCAAGTGGTTGTGGGCACAATATCTAGTTTTTGATCCCTAAACCCTTACCTGTAGTTAAAGATTTAGTTGTAAGAATCGAATTTCAAAATCGTATTTCAAAAATATGTGTTCAATATTTTACGGTAAAGAAGGGCCGAGGTGAAAAGCTTTATTCATTATAATTTTTTTTTGCTTGTCAACTGCAAGCAATTTTTTAAGCCAGTGTTTTTATGCCAGCCACATTATTTTAATTTTAACACAAGGACGTGTGACTTTTTTTAATGTTACGAGAGAGTTATGGTAGAAACAGGCAACTAGATTTGTTCATTCCACGATTCTGATTATGTCCGTCGTGTAGTATGTATTATTTTCGTACAAGCAAAGACATAAAAGGACTTTGCAGATAGGCCGCCCTGTGTTGCATCGTGATATCTGTTTCTGTTTGTTTGCATAGCTTGCATTTATTTTGGCGATATAATTTATAATATTATAATTATTTCTAAATCGTTCCACAAATAATTTCTAATATGAAGAAATCATTACTACGAAATGTTCATTTATTTAAATATTTGAGAGTACTTATTAACAATTATTTTAACAGTCACTTTATTTGAAATACGAATAAAGTAAGAATTCACATGTGAGTTTATCTCAGTTTTTTAGCCAATTTTTACGCCTGGCTATTATAATATATTATTTATAGATGCAAGGTTTTCATTTACGTAAAAAGGTTTCGATGAGACGAACAGTTGCTTGAGACATTGTTGTCTCAGTTGTACTCAATTCCCGAGTACGGACAGCAGTTAATAATTCACATTTTCTTCTATGTTGGGTCTCACTATAATTTTTGGTAAGGAGCGATTGAAACTTTAACTTACTTCCCTATCTTTACCTTCCATTTTGTAATGAGCAAAGCGTCTTACTCTGTGGATGTAATCTGTATCCTGAGGACTCAAGAAGAAAATCACTTTGACTGCCATCTTTTTCTTTTTCAACTTGGACAGCTGTTCTTAAGTCTATACGCAATATAGAAATTTCCAGTTTAAAAAATAATAGTAATAATTTTCTACAGACTGAATTTCAGTCACGGCAGACAGTCCAAACCACTAGCCATTTGCGTAAAACAGGTTTATAGTGCCGGATTTTATGCGCGAGAACATGTACACTATGTTCCTTCACTCTCATAGATCGATGAGACGAAATTCTGACAATATTGGAGATATCGCGCGCAAGACGCAAGGCTTAACGTGCTTTTCTAGGTGTGTCTTCGAGCTGCTACTGATTTTTTGACAGACAAACCCAATAACTAATTTTGACTTGACCCGGTATTCGAAACCGACAATATCAATCGGGTTTACAAACTTACGAAATGTTATTCTTTCGAAATGGTCTAACTAACGAATTCTTTGGGGTTTCATCTCTGGCTGGTTTATTTTAATCTTATTTTTTATATTGTAGGCATAATTATACATATATATATATATATACATATACCTAGTCAGGTCATAAGTATTGTCACACAGTGAAAAATTTTCTTTTAGAATGCTGGCCACAAATAAGTTTATTGAATTTGAATTTCGAATTGTTCATGAAAATAAAACTGTATACTTTTTAGAATTTTACTCAATTTTAAATATGGAGTGGACGCTTAAAGAAGACCGTGTTGCAGTTATTGCGTCGCATCGTTGCGGTTAAGCGCCAATTAAAATTTTTGACATACTGAAAAATTTGAATATAACCAAAAGATTCGTTTATCGTACCATCAAACGATACAATGAAGACTCTAGTGTAGATGATAGGTCAAGAAGTGGTCGCCCTCAGTCTGTTAGGACTCCAGCAGTGATAAAAGCTGTGAAGGCGCGAATTCAAAGAAATCCCAAATGTAAGCAGAAACTGTTGGCCCTTCAGATCGGCTTAAGCAGAACCACGGTGAAAAGGATGTTAAATGAAGACTTAGGGCTTCGGGCATATCGAAGAAAAACAGGACATCGTTTGAATGCTCATCTAATGGACCTGAGACTGAAGAGATGCCGCGCTTTTTTGAAGTGGTACGCGGGAAAAAATATCGGGAAATTCTTTTTTCGGATGAAAAAATTTTTACCGTAGAAGAGAGCTACAACAAACAAAATGATAAGGTGTACACAGTAGTAAAGAAGCGAGAAACTGTATTCCGCGTGTCCAACGAGGTCATTTTCCATCCTCGCTAATGGTATGGTTGGGAGTTTCTTATTGGGGCTTAACAGAGGTACATTTTTGTGAGAAAGGTGTAAAAACGAATGCAGTTGTGTATCAAAATACAGTCCTGACGAACCTTGTGGAACCTGTTTCTCTCACCATGTTCAATAACAGGCACTGGGTATTCCAACAAGATTCGGCGCCACCTCATAGAGCGAAGAGCACACAAGACTGGCTGGCGGCGCGTGAAATCGACTTCATCCGGCACGAAGACTGGCCCTCCTCCAGTCCAGATTTGAATTCGTTAGATTACAAGATATGGCAACACTTGGAGGAAAAGGCGTGCTCAAAACCTCATCCACATTTGGAGTCACTCAAGACATCCTTGATTAAGGCAGCCGCCGATATTGACATGGACCTCGTTCGTGCTGTGATAGACGACTGGCCGCGCAGATTGAAGGCCTGTACTAAAAATCACGGAGGTCATTTTGAATAAACTTTAGTGTCATAAGAATCTACGTTTTGTTAAGTTCATTTTGGTATATAAATGGTTACATAATGAATAATCTTGTTTCAATTATTTTATATTAAACATGTGACAGAATTTATGACCTGACTAGGTATATATTTGGAAACCGACTCCATTTTGAATTTAAGTGTTTTTATAAATTTATAAAGTATGAGTAGTAATTTATAAAGTAATTTTTCTAAAAGAAGACAGAATATTCGATGCGAGAGGGACTATGAATAGCAAAATAAATATATAATGATCATCTACATTATTAGAAACAGCATAATTGGAATATGTAGAGTGTTTATGAATACCAGTTATTCAACTCCAAAAAATTCAGTTATTCCTCCATGGGACAATGTATACGTTTTTACAACAGACTCGAAGAAAATATGCAAGCCTTATCTATCAAAAGTTTTTATTACACATACACTGAAGAATCGAGATTGATTAAATAAAATCAATGGGTGTGGTGTAATATTTTTTTTGAATTGACAAATAAGCTAACATTTTTTTAGCTTTCTTACATAAAATACACATTTGACCTAAAACTATCATGAATAAATTCTTTAAATTATCATATAATCATACAATAAATACAAACAAACGGGACATTAGGCTGTAATGTTACTAGAATATACAACGTTAATGTGATTTTTTTTTTACTTTACAGGTACAGAATATGTCCGAATGCCGCCATTGTATCATCTAGATCCATACGAGCTATGTGTATATAAACCAAAAGGATTATATTGTACAGTGGAGATTGATTTAGTTTCAGATGGAAGCACGGATGAAGGCAACGAATTAATGAAAATGATAAGAGTAAGTGAATTTTGACGGCTTATGGTTATTAAAATGATAACAGTTAAATAGGCAGATCTTGATCTAGCAAGAGTATTTCATGCTCTCAGATAAAAATCTGATAAAAAAATGCCTTCAGCTATCAACTAAAGACGATTTATAATAGTGCTACAAGTGTACGCGCAAATTCACGCCAAAAAGGAGCTATTTCCGCCCCGTGTTCTACGTAATTGAAGTGTTCAGTACAAATGTAGGGTACGTTAGGGATTTTCACAATAGGTTATGTAGATAATTTTTAAAATTTTCTTAAGTTTAGGAAAATAAATGTAAGAAACACTATAATAGTACTGTGTGATGTTGGGTCTAACAACGAACAGGAGTAGAGGACGGCCCAAGAAACGCTGGCTTGATGTCGTGCAGGATGACATGCGCGCCAATGAACTAGTTGTGAGGGACGCCGAAGACCGGGCAAAGTGGAGGAGGAAGTGTTGGAAAGCGGACCCTGGGTTCTCCCGCGCTGGGCGGGATGAGCAACCGGGATAAACGCTAGGTAGAAGAAGAAGAAGAAGAGAGATGTTGGGTCTAACAACGCATGCATAACAAATAAAGCAGATATTGATAAATTCACACATCAGATATCGATAGCCTCTTTAAGTCCACACATAGACTAAGGCCCTTGCAAGAATAAAGAAACATAAGCGTTTAAAAATTTGTTGTTAATAATCACATTAATTGTATGTCAATCAACGGTTATTATACGGCAGATGAGTTTAATTAACTAATTTTCCAGAGTCCTACACAGCTTTGCCAAATATTTTCCCACTTGCTCTTTCTACTGTACGATCTTTTCAATGGAATATTATATTTTACAGGAATATTCTGCGCGTACAGAAACGCATTACAATCATACGCGACTACATCACGGTATTTGCGTCACGGATATATGTCAAAAGTACCTTGCGCAAAACACAACAGAGGACCTTAAAGTAGTACTTGAAGGGTGCTTAAATAGTTCATTTTGGGAAAAATACAAATTAAAAACAAGGATTAACGAAGATTTAGTTTGTAACAATAAAGATCAAACTTTTGAGTTGGAACCTGGTGACATAGGTGTGGCTGTGATTGTGATATGTTTAATTATACTCAACATTAGTGGGATCATTTACGACTGCTTTGCTTTTAAGAAGAAGGACCATGAAGGTAACTTTGTTTTGATTTTATGAGATTACTTTTTGTTTTGAATAAGACAATATCGCTTAAATTAAATTTTTACTTTACTCACTGGATTAGTTAAGTCGTCTAGTAACCAGCTGTGTAAGTATTGTATTGATGAAAATTTTAACGCAAATGCAGAAGCTCTGCTCCCTAATTAAATTATCAGATGTATTCCATGTAAGATATTAGAAAAATTGAATGTTATCTTGAATTGGTCCAATCCAAACTCGAAAATAACTGTTTTTAACTAAGAATTTCATTTAGAGAAGCAGGTACTACACCAATTTATAGATTTCTCAGAGGAAGGGTCTGTTAAAATAAAAAATAAATAAAGCGAACGAGAAAAATCTAAAGTTTGGACACTGTCGGCGCCAATAAAAAGAACAAAATTGTTAGTTGCAATTTTAGGTGTAGTGAATATTATAAATTTAAATTGTTGTACATTTAAATGATTGCCACTCAACTGCTTTAAGCCTTTAAGAAGCCTGAATCACCTTGACGAATTGGCGACCGCAGAGATTTTAGCGACGTTAACACCGTCTTGTGACTACTTTCTGTATTACTTAGAAAAGTTTAAATGTTAGTAGACTGCAGATGTGAAAAGTATTTGAGTTATATACTGCTTATCATGCTTGCGCATCACTGAGATTTATGTCGCGGTTGAGTATCTTCAATTTCATTGCACGGTTTGGTGTTGTAGCTTCGTCCGGTAGGCATCACGAGATATCAAATATACTCGTGTACGTCGAAGATGCCCAGGGGAGGACGGTCGCGAATAACGATCAGCCACGTCACAAGAATATAGCACAGAGGGATAGTGGAGTCGCCGTAGAATCGAATCAGGTGAATCATCATGCAAGTGTTACGTCGCCGCCGATGCGCGCCCAACGCTGCACTCTATCGCCTAAGAATAGGTCACCATCACCACATCGCCACGAGGAACGTAGGTTACCGTAGCCGTATCGTCGCGATGTAGGTATATGTAGGTCACGGTCATCGTATAATCGCGATACATCCCAGTGTCGTGTATTGTTAGAGGGAAACAGGGATAGAGGTAGGTCGCGTAGGTACGACGAGTAAGTCGTATTAGTAGCTCTGGGTCTAAGCGCTCGCTGGAAAATTTCGCCCGGGTTTGATCCCCAGAAGCGCCAATGAAATATTTTATTGCAATTTTAAGTGCTGATTTAGCACTTGTTCGGCGGTGAAGGAAAACATCGTGTAGAAACTTGCATGTCTAAGGAATAGAAGAAAATTCGAAGACGTGTGCAGTTCGCCAACACGCAATAGGGCAGCGCAGCGGACATTTCAAATGAGAAGAGTCATGTGCCCAGCAAAGGGGCTTACATAGCCTGTTACTTAACTGTTGTATCGTATAAATATGCAGTATTCATATTCGTTTCAGATACTAAATATAATGTGGGGACCACGAAAATGTAAAACAGCTTTTCACCTAGATAAAATGTTCTAGTGATTGTCAATCATTTCATACGCCACATTTTCTATAGAGTTTAAAACGTCTCAGGTAGGGCAAAATAAAAAATAATACAAAATATTATTGAAATGATTTATTAATAATATAAACATTTAAAGGTGTTTATAATAAAAATAATGAACAAGCTATAAAGTTCAACTGATAGTGTTTCTTGTAAACACAATTATGAAATTTCTGTTCTCATTTATATTAATGGTTAATTAATGAAATGTAGTTAAGATCACTTCATATAAAATATATTTAATTAAATTGGCACATGGCAAATTTGGCCTTCTATTTACAACTCGGCGGAAATTTGAAAAGAAAGATTTTGTCTGTTCTTAAATCTCTTGTGTACACCATTTTTCACAGAAGTATTGTTTACAACTGGCGTGGTTTCCAAAAGCGTGATAAAGTGTCAGCGAGATATCGTCAATTAGATTCTGAACTTTTTTGACTTTTATTTTGGTTTCTTTTTATTATATCTTATAACCTTTTTAAGAACTAACACAAACTCATTAGTTTATTATTTCTTATATTTTAACGTATTGGGTACCATGGATAAGTTTGTATTTTTTTTTTAATTTTAACACAAAATTTTCGCAATAAATTATTACGTTTTCTACAGTGATATTCTCGTCTTAGTTTCGGCGTGACTGTAGGATGTTATATAGGCACTGAGTTACCGTCAGTTATTAAGTGCCCATAAATCAATATGCGCATGTATACAGATATTGATTTATGGCCATACATACAGAACTACATTTTTTTGATTTTATTATTTCAGATTTTTTGAATTTTGATTGATTTTTGGAAACTTGGTACATTTTTTTTCCATACCAATTGATGGGCCTGAGTATAATTCCAGTAGTGCTATTTGGCTGAAGATTTTTTTCATTTTATGCACATCTGCAGACAAAACAATATTGATTGCGCATCTCTAAAACAAAATTTTACCTCTTCTCCTTCTAATAATAGCTCCTGCACCTGAAAAGTTGGAATAGTTTTTTTCTATAAGACCTTTTGCAGTAACAATTTTTGTACACAGTTATGACCGTAACATTTTTATCAGCTGCTTTATTCATAGTGCTTTGAGCATACTTTAGAGAAAAGCATGACCTTATCATAATATTATAGTTAATATTATCATAATATTATATTATAGTAATCATTTAGCCATCTAATAAAATCTCGTAAGTGTGCCAGTAATACATTAATGATGATATTTGGGTCATTATACTGGAAATAGCCTATTAAATATTTTGATCATCTTCAGTATAATTGACCATGTGAATGACTTTTATAAGTCTATGCTATTTTTGATGAAAATTATTATTGCAGATAAAAGCCCTTTCACATTGATTTTAGTCTCAAATTAAATTAATCAAAATAAAATTTTGAACTTTGTAATAAGTCCCATCGGTAGCCTTCGTTTTACATAGATCTTGTAACGACTTGCATTTCTTTCAACATGAACTAAGTCGTGTTTCTTTGAAATTGACAAGGTTTATTATATCCAAAACTAAGAATGCTGCTGTTGAAATTAATTATTGATAGATAATTTTTTTAATTCATTGAATATTTTTTAGATGTGTGTCTGTCCCACTTGGAAATATATAGGGTCATTTTTAATTTACTAAAAACCTTTTGGGAATATATTGGTTACATCATTACAAACAATTTTAGCGAAATCACTCTTCACAGAATATAATACATTTACGAAAAAACTACTTTTAAGGTTTTGTTGTCATGTCTGACTCCTTTTAAGTCTGTATTTTGTAGTACCTAAACAATGTCAGAATAAATCGTCAAAGAAAATGCCTTATTTATTTTACACTTGATATCAGTATCACACATTGTGTTGAAATCATTAAACATAATTAAATTAGCAAATGACATTTAAAAAAAACCACAAATATTAAAATTTATAATAAGTAAAAATGACCGCCGGGCCGGTCGACGCCTGGCTGATTGCGTTGCGAGTAGGGTTCCCAGATGAAAAAATTAAAAGTCCGGAGAAGAGGCCTGATTTCCATTTAAAAATCCTGAGATTGTTTTACAGTTTGAGAAGAAAACCTTACTTAAAAAAGTATCTTCACATATTAAGTATGATAAAACTGTTTGAGTACCTACTTGGATAAATAAGTTTTGATTTTAATTGTGGAATTATTACCAAAGGAAAATATTTTGGTTTGTTTGACTTTTATTAAGAGATCTTTTAAAATGTAAGCTGTATTATATTGAAAGTTCTAAAAATCCTGAGATTTCATGAGATTTGCAAAATCCAGCCGCAATCCTGAGAACAGTCTAAAAACCCTGAAATCTCAGGACAAATACTGAGATATGGTAACCCTAGCTGCAAGTGCCTACTAAACCATTCATCACTGTGCCTATTGCACCAGGGCGCCACTTTAAATGACTTTACATTAACTTTTCATATACTTCTTTATTTTGCATAAAACCATTTGATGAACTATATTTGATTATTTTATTAATTTCTTTAAGAATTAATAGACATTCTTTAATAGACATTTAGGTAGTTTTTTTACGAATACTGTTTGCTAGCAACTCTGCCTGCATCCAAGAGGCAACGCCTCAACGTCTCACATGCGGCGGCCCAAGGCCCAGCCAACGATATATTATAACGTCGACACAGGTGTTACCGTCATCAAAGGCACCGCCTGCCCTTTTCGGTTTGCAGGCATCGATTCGGTGATCGATGTTTGCAGCACGTGCAAATTAAATAAGTATTATTAACTATTTTTTTTATTTATTGTAAGTTGTATTTAGAAAATGGATGCAGGTTAAAATAATTACAAATATTACAATAAAATATTTATAATGATTAAATACAAATTAACCGTAATTGAATAAAGATATTAAGGTATAATGGTTCAATAAAAATATTAAAATACAAATTTAAAAATTATACTTACCTAGGTACTTGTCCGCGGATGGCGGTGAGTATCGCGCACATAGCGTTCAAAATAATCAACTCCACATTCTATGCATAGGTGACACCTAAAACTTAACTGTTCACCGACACGAGATAATACTTGATGATTCATTTTGATTTGATCGAATGCCCAAATTATTTTTTCTTTCAACATGTCGCGGGTTTCGAATGCTCGACCAGTATACACTAATGTCTTTACATGCCCCCACAAATAAAAATCCATTGGTGAGATATCTGGCGATCTGGGAGGCCATGCACAAGGCCCGTCACGACCGACCCAGCGACCAGGGTATTCTCTGTTTAAATAATCCTTAACTTGGCGAGCATAGTGTGCTGGCGCCCCGTCAAGTTGGTAATACATATTGCGTAGAGATGCAAGTGGTATGTCCTCTAACAACTCTGGCAGCGTGTCGGTGAGAAAACTAGGATAGCCTTCACTGTTTAATCTTTCTATGAAGACCAGACCCAGTAACATTGTATTAATAGCGCCTGCCCACACATTGACACTAAACCGGTGTTGAAAGCTATGCGGTCTTGGTTCATGTGGATTTTCATAAAACCACAAGTGTTCATTGTGCGAATTAAATAGTCCTATTCTGCCAAATGTTGCTTCATCAGTCCATAAAATGTTGGCTCGTTCAGCAGCTAGTAACCAGTTACAAAATGTAACTCGCGCTGGTTTGTCAGCTTCGCTGACTTCATGAACACGATGCAAGTGGAAAGGGTACTTCCCTTCATTGTGTATGACACTTCCACTACACACGTTGCAGTTGTAGTTTGTGGATTTCCATTTTTTATATCCTCATAATCCAACATTTTCATTTTCATGTTTTTATTTTACATTAAATTGAAGAGAACCTACTCATTTCACTGTAATATTGTTAGAGATCAATTTATATTATCTACAATTGCAAAGGATCAAAGTGCAAAAGTGCACATTTTAAGGAAGTCGATGGATGCAGGTGGCTCAGTACCGTGCTTTGTGGCATTCCTTGGGGGAGGCCTATGTTCAGCAGTGGACTTTTGAAGGGCTGTAATGATGATTACAAATTCATTTAATCTAATATTACTGCCGCTCATAAAGTATAAACTATCGAAATTAAAATCATACGCACCCTGCGTATGTTTTAAATTTCGATGGATTTTAATTGACTTATTTATTTATTTAAAAAATTATGTTTTTATTTTTTTAGTATGGAAACTTTACTTCAAATTAGTAAAATTTATTTATACAATAGTTTCATATTTATAAAAGGGTTTTTAAAAAAATTTAAAATATCAGTGCCATAGGCTTCTACTCCGTTCACATGTTACACCCAATTGTTTGGCAAACGGTAAAAAAGTCATCAAGTATATCAATGTTAATTGTAGAGTAAGTAGTAGTAGTCTTATTAAAGTCCTAGCAAGACTAACACGCCTCTCCTCTTATTGACACCTTCCCAACATTACAATTTACCGTTATCGTTACAGCATATCAAAAGTCCATTGCTGGCCACTCCCATAGATTGCCTCATAGTAATATTGTTATTAGTAAGACGCTGCTGCTCTACTCATTGGTTTTCCAGTGTTGCCTCCTACGATACCTACGTAATGATATGGAGTAGTGTAGTATACTAACACCATCACTACACGGCCACTGCTTACTGACAATGTATGGTTTATTAATATTAAAACTAAGCTTATGAATACTAAGCTAAAGTCTTTATCATAGACATATATATATATATCTTTATCATAAGACTAAAAACTTTAGGGGATGTTTTAAATATTCGGCCGCAAAAATATGGAATGATTTGCCACCACCCTTAAAAGAAAATTTTAATATTACATTTGCAACATTTAAAAAAAAAGGTTAAAAAGGAGTTATTACATAAACAGAAGTCTTTTTAGGCCGAATAACTGTATGTTTATTCTGTAATAAAGTTTTTTTTTCATCTAACACATATTGACTGTAAAGAGGTTTACCAATAATACATAATTAAATAAGATGTGCGTGCGACCAAAATATACCCACAACAGCAGGGACTGGCTGAAAAACAGTGCTGAGCATAATGCCCAGCGAATACTGAGCCTGTGCCCGTTGCCTCACATTATAATCGTAAACTGAGTAATATTAGTTAATCTGTTAATTGTGAATGTTCATTTTTTTATAAAAATTTTAAGTCTAATCATTTTTATGTGTATACTTTGTAAACTTTTCATTTGTATATATATATATATTTATATATATATAAAGGTAATGTAATATATCATTCTACCTGACTATCTCTCCTGATCTGTAAACTTATAACCAGCTTCATTACATTGAAGTGCTTATAATTTTGCTTATAATTTATCTATTAGATTGTTCTTTTTCCTTTTCTTCCAACAACAATACACCTACCATCAAACAATATAAGGGAAACCTGTTATTGGCCATACTTTTAGTTTGTTACATTAATGTTAATATTTTCTATATACGCTGTTGGTTTTCTAAATAAATAAATAAATAAATAAATTATTGTGTGGCAATAAATATTTATTATTATTATTACATTATCACATATATATTGTCACAAAACTATAATATTATAAATATAAATACAATCTATATAAATAATATTATTATTTCGGCTATTATCCACCGCGGCGAGGAATCCTAAGCCATCGGTGAAATTAGGCATCCAAAGATAGGAACCTTCTCACTATTCGAGCCGTATTTAATAAGGCCGATTTTTGAATTAATCCCTTCAGCCATTTGCCCAAACCCAACTTGGATAGATAGTCGTCCATAGTTTTACCAATAAGCCCATTGACTGAAACAACTATTGGTACAATAATAGTAGAATCAACGTCCCACATAGCGACAATCTCATGAGCCAAGTCGATATATTTTATCTTTTTATCATTCTCTGCTTTCACGAGATTCTCGTCATGAGGAACACTGATATCCACTATTATTGCCTTGCGTGCAGTTCGGTCTATCACCACAATGTCAGGTTTATTTGCCACTATAAACCTGTCTGTGATAATTGACCGATCCCAGTACAGCGTGACACTTCTATTTTCAAGGACTGGTTTTGGTTCATACTTATAATATGGAACGTCCTGTTGAGTAAAACCAAATTTAATCGCAAGCTGCTGGTGTATTATTCTAGCTACTTGGTTATGTCTGTGCAAATACTCGCCATTTGATAGTTGTGAACAACCGGAAATAACATGTCTGAGGGACTCTCCAGGGTGGTGACATGCGCGACATACGTCAACTGTGCCATCCCTCAAAATGTACTTCCGGTAGTTATTCGTTTTAATTACTTCGTCTTGTATTGCACAGATAAACCCTTCAGTTTCTGCAAAAAGGTCACCAAACTGTAACCAATGTACTGATGCAACCATGTCTACACAAGGATTAGTCAATGTTTTAAAAAATCGACCATGCAGTTGTTTGTCATTCCAAACCTTTTTGCGTTCATCTATAGTCATAGTATGAGGCCTCTGCCAGTTCTTTGCCGACATATTAAGCGGGGTTAATGATTTGTCATTAATCACTACGTCACTATGAATGCGTGATGTGTCTTTTTTTTTAAATAAAATAGTCTCTGAGGTTGCATACTTCACGGTTGTGTAGGTTTTTAATGTTTAATAAGCCCCGTCCACCATCTTTTCTTGGAAGATACAACCTCATGACAGATGATCGCGGGTGGTGCATTCTGTGCGTGGTCATTAATGTGCGGACTCGTCTATCTAAGTCATCCAATTCCGTTTGAGACCATCTTGTAATACCAAAAGTATATAGAAGGCTAGGTATTACCCAGGAGTTATATGCTCTAATTTTGTTTTCGCCAGATAAATGACTTTTGATAACTTTTTTTGATCTTGACATAAATTTTACTTTTGAATTTTCTTTAATGTTTTTGTCATTAATTCCTAGCGCTTCTGCCATGCCCAAGTATTTATAGGTTTCTGTCTCAGAAAGAGAACTGAAATGTAAGTCATCTGTAATTGCAAAATTATTACAATCTTTAATTTTGCCCCTATTTACGTTTATGACAGCACATTTATCCATTCCAAATTCCATTCTAATATCATTGTTGAAACTATGTGTTAATTTCAACAATAATAATAGATCACTCTCTTTTGATGTGAATAGCTTGAGATCATCCATGTAAAGTAGATGTGAGATGGGTGAGTTTTCTTTTCGAAACCGAAATCCTAATCCAGATTCCTCAATAACAGTGCTTAAAGGATTCAGGGCTAAACAAAACCAAGTTGGGCTCAAACTATCACCCTGGAATATACCCCGCTTAATATTTATAGAGTCTATCGAACTGCTTTGCCACTTACCTGGTAGATTTAGGATAGTGTTCCACTGACCCATTAATTTACTTAAAAACTTACAAATTTTGTCATCTATTTTATATATTTCTAAAACTCTCTTTAGCCATGAATGTGGAACAGAGTCATATGCCTTTTTGTAATCCACCCAAGCAGCGGACATATTTTTGCGATTACGAAAAACTTGTCGGCAAATAGCTGTGTCAATGAGAAGAAGTTCTTTACAACCACGTGACCCTTTCCGACATCCGTTCTGTGCGGTTGACAGAATGTTATTATTTTCCAAATGTTTATAGATCTTGTTAATTAAAATTGCAGTTATTAATTTGTATACAGTTGAAAGGCTTGTTATAGGTCGGTAATTTTTAGGTTCCGTGATATTTCCATTTTTATATAGTAAGTGGGTAATACCAGTTGTAAGAAGTCTCGGGAGCTCACAGCACTCAATGGCTTCTTGAATCTGTGCAGCCAAACGCACATGGCTACTTGTTATCCATTTCAGCCAAAAGTTGTGTATACCATCTGGTCCAGGTGATTTCCAATTGTGTAATCTACGAGTAATTGAGTATACATCTTCAGCAGTAATTGAGATAGAACCCATGTTAGCCAAATTAGAAAACTTACGTTCGGTTGCACGAATCCATTCGCCTTCATTATGAGAAACTTCATTAGACCACATATTTTTCCAAAAATTTAGACATTCAATTAAGCTTGGGCTGCCATGAGTACAACTATTAGTTGTAGTGCTCTCCCAAGACCGATACACCCACTTTTGATTACTTTCGAATGTGCGATTTTGGAAGTACCGTTTAGACCTTTCTGAATATCGTCTAATACGGTTGGCCCATGCTTTTAACTTTTGTTTTTGCGTATCAATGTACTCAGTAATTTTATCCGGAAAATGGGGATCTAAATGGCTAATATTATTTTCATTAGAGATTTGATTTACTAAAGTAATTATTTTTTTACGCCTGTTACCTGTTTGGTAGCTTATTAATTTTCCTATAATTTTGCGAGTATTGTCAATTCGTTTTTGAATTCTTTGTTTCCATTTAGGTTCTGTATTATTTTTCTTAAAATTTTGTACTGAAATAATAGGAATTTTCATTATCATACATACAGCATGGGCACAACAGTATAGAAGAGACATAGTTTCCAAAATAGAATTACTTTTTTCAAAATAATCTTTACATAAAACATTCATTGATGCTACTGTTAATATATAAAAGCTTTTACAAAAATTTACTTCGCAAATATCCGCGTTATAAAATAAAATGATGTGTCTTACCTAGTATGAAGAAGCACCTCCCGCCCTCCCTCAATTGCGTGCACTAACCCCGTCACCACTAATCCCAGCACCGCTACTCCCAACACCACTACACTAGGCAAGACACACCACTGACGATAATACGACACGTGTTTCGCCTCTACACGAGGCATCCTCAGGTGATATAGACTCTACGGTGGCTAACCGCTAAGTGAGCGGCGAGCCAAAACAACTGCCTTTTATACAAACCGATGACGCAACCGCTCTCTACCTAAGAAGCGAGCGACTGCGTCATGCGATAAAACATGCGACCAATCACCGCTGGACTTACGCAGCCGTTTGTAAAATTAAAAACAAACCGCCGCGCAACGCCCACATTATTAGAGAGCAGGCTTGAAGATATTTAAGAGAGGTGAGTTAGTAACATTTGTTTGTTCATTCAGCAATGCAACGGTATTATTATTACTTTTTAATATCTCTAACTGTTCCAGCACACACAGCCGCAGCCCTTTATTACACGTATGTAAGACTTTAAAGGAGTGGTCGTTGGCTAGGTTGTGTCCAGTGTCCAAAAGATGTTTGGCAAAATGGGATTTATCGGGATTGCAATTCCTGTACGCGGCTAAATGCTCTTTATAACGTGTCTCGAAATTGCGACCAGTTTGACCCACGTAAACGGCGTGGCATTCGTCACAAACAAGTTTGTAAACACCTGACTTTTGACGAATATCCAACTTATCTTTACTATTACAGATATTTCTAAGAGAATTGTTTGTTTTAAATGCCACATAAACGCCGTTTTGTCGAAGAGTATTAGCTACTTTTTCAGATATGGGGCCTAAGTAGGTCAAACTGCTCACATATCGATGAACACTTTGAGGTTGAACCGCGTACAGAGAGTTGCGAATAACATGCTTTTGTTTCTTTTTAATTAAATTGTTAATGAGATTTTTTGAAAAACCGTTAGAGACCGCTATTTGATAAATTATATTAAGTTCTTTTAAATAATTTTCTTTACTTAATGGGACAGTGAACAACCGGTTAATGTAACAATAAAAAGCGGCTACTTTATGTTGCCATGGATGACATGATGACGCGGGGATGACTGTGTCGGTGTGAGTTGGCTTTCGATAAATTTGGAAAACATGTGACGATTCTTTTCTTGTTATTGTTAAGTCAAGAAAATTAAGGGAACAATCTTGTTCCAATTCAAGTTTAAATTTAATTTTGTCATGGACTCTATTTATTTTATTGAGGAAAACATCCAGTTGTCTCCTTGTGCCAGTCCAGCAAATAATTATGTCGTCTACATATCGATAGTAATATAAGATATTTTGATTGACAACTATATGTTGTTTTTCGAAATTATCCATGAAAATGTCCGCCATAAGGGGACTTAGAGGGGACCCCATAGCTAACCCTTCTTTTTGTAGATAGAAACGGTTATTAAACCGGAAATAGTTTTGTTTCATACAGAGAGAGGTTAAGTTAAGAAGATCATTTGTTTCCCCGGGATGTAGACGACGTTTTTCAAAGAGATCTGCGAGTATACGCAAACAATCAGGGGATGGGACATTTGTGAAAAGACTATCAACGTCTAAAGATAACAATATGGATTTAGGAGGAATACGAATATCTTTAATTTTGGAAATGAAATCTAAGCCATTTTTTAGGCTGTAAGTGGGGTTGAATCCAGATTTCTCTCGAAGGAGGAAGTTTAATTTTTTAGCAAGGAAATAAGCTGGTGCACCAATATATGAGACAACTGGACGAATAGGAACATGTTCTTTATGTATTTTTGGTAACCCATATAAAATGGGTGCTTGAGGATTCATTGGAACAAGATTGCTCCGAGACAAGTTGTGATCGGGAAAAACATATGATGACTGTTGTATACATAACTTAATATCCGAAGTAAACTTTTTGGTTGGGTCAGACTCCAATAGCTCAAAGTCATCACCTTGGATAACATCGTTAACTTTCTGGCTGTACCCACTACTCTCCATAATAACAACAGTATTGCCTTTATCGGCTTTAGTAACAATAAGGTCGTTTTCCCTTATTCTCTGCTTTAGGGACTTAAAAACAGGGAACTCAGGATTGAAATGGGAAGACGCGGGCACAGCCCGAATTTCATTAGCTACCAAACTTTTAACGATGTTATCTTTCCTCCCGATCACAACAGCCACCTCCGCGTCAACAGCCATAGTCTCTAACGATTTTTGGGAGACCGAAGGTGTTAAATTATACTTTAGGCCTTTATGTAAAAGAGTCAACTCATCTGTTGGAAACTGGACATCGGAAAGATTTTTAACTCGGGGATAAAATTGGTGATATTCTGTATGTATGTCGTTATTACGATTACGGGATGAAGAGGATACAAGTCGTTGTAATTTACGGGACTGAATTTGATATTTCTCATAAACAGCCATTGAAGCAAGTTCTCTGGCTTTTCCATCCAAAATATCAAATTCAATATTATGTAAATGAACTTTCATATAAATTACATAATATTGAATTTGATATTTTGGATGGAAAAGCCAGAGAACTTGCTTCAATGGCTGTTTATGAGAAATATCAAATTCAGTCCCGTAAATTACAACGACTTGTATCCTCTTCATCCCGTAATCGTAATAACGACATACATACAGAATATCACCAATTTTATCCCCGAGTTAAAAATCTTTCCGATGTCCAGTTTCCAACAGATGAGTTGACTCTTTTACATAAAGGCCTAAAGTATAATTTAACACCTTCGGTCTCCCAAAAATCGTTAGAGACTATGGCTGTTGACGCGGAGGTGGCTGTTGTGATCGGGAGGAAAGATAACATCGTTAAAAGTTTGGTAGCTAATGAAATTCGGGCTGTGCCCGCGTCTTCCCATTTCAATCCTGAGTTCCCTGTTTTTAAGTCCCTAAAGCAGAGAATAAGGGAAAACGACCTTATTGTTACTAAAGCCGATAAAGGCAATACTGTTGTTATTATGGAGAGTAGTGGGTACAGCCAGAAAGTTAACGATGTTATCCAAGGTGATGACTTTGAGCTATTGGAGTCTGACCCAACCAAAAAGTTTACTTCGGATATTAAGTTATGTATACAACAGTCATCATATGTTTTTCCCGATCACAACTTGTCTCGGAGCAATCTTGTTCCAATGAATCCTCAAGCACCCATTTTATATGGGTTACCAAAAATACATAAAGAACATGTTCCTATTCGTCCAGTTGTCTCATATATTGGTGCACCAGCTTATTTCCTTGCTAAAAAATTAAACTTCCTCCTTCGAGAGAAATCTGGATTCAACCCCACTTACAGCCTAAAAAATGGCTTAGATCTCATTTCCAAAATTAAAGATATTCGTATTCCTCCTAAATCCATATTGTTATCTTTAGACGTTGATAGTCTTTTCACAAATGTCCCATCCCCTGATTGTTTGCGTATACTCGCAGATCTCTTTGAAAAACGTCGTCTACATCCCGGGGAAACAAATGATCTTCTTAACTTAACCTCTCTCTGTATGAAACAAAACTATTTCCGGTTTAATAACCGTTTCTATCTACAAAAAGAAGGGTTAGCTATGGGGTCCCCTCTAAGTCCCCTTATGGCGGACATTTTCATGGATAATTTCGAAAAACAACATATAGTTGTCAATCAAAATATCTTATATTACTATCGATATGTAGACGACATAATTATTTGCTGGACTGGCACAAGGAGACAACTGGATGTTTTCCTCAATAAAATAAATAGAGTCCATGACAAAATTAAATTTAAACTTGAATTGGAACAAGATTGTTCCCTTAATTTTCTTGACTTAACAATAACAAGAAAAGAATCGTCACATGTTTTCCAAATTTATCGAAAGCCAACTCACACCGACACAGTCATCCCCGCGTCATCATGTCATCCATGGCAACATAAAGTAGCCGCTTTTTATTGTTACATTAACCGGTTGTTCACTGTCCCATTAAGTAAAGAAAATTATTTAAAAGAACTTAATATAATTTATCAAATAGCGGTCTCTAACGGTTTTTCAAAAAATCTCATTAACAATTTAATTAAAAAGAAACAAAAGCATGTTATTCGCAACTCTCTGTACGCGGTTCAACCTCAAAGTGTTCATCGATATGTGAGCAGTTTGACCTACTTAGGCCCCATATCTGAAAAAGTAGCTAATACTCTTCGACAAAACGGCGTTTATGTGGCATTTAAAACAAACAATTCTCTTAGAAATATCTGTAATAGTAAAGATAAGTTGGATATTCGTCAAAAGTCAGGTGTTTACAAACTTGTTTGTGACGAATGCCACGCCGTTTACGTGGGTCAAACTGGTCGCAATTTCGAGACACGTTATAAAGAGCATTTAGCCGCGTACAGGAATTGCAATCCCGATAAATCCCATTTTGCCAAACATCTTTTGGACACTGGACACAACCTAGCCAACGACCACTCCTTTAAAGTCTTACATACGTGTAATAAAGGGCTGCGGCTGTGTGTGCTGGAACAGTTAGAGATATTAAAAAGTAATAATAATACCGTTGCATTGCTGAATGAACAAACAAATGTTACTAACTCACCTCTCTTAAATATCTTCAAGCCTGCTCTCTAATAATGTGGGCGTTGCGCGGCGGTTTGTTTTTAATTTTACAAACGGCTGCGTAAGTCCAGCGGTGATTGGTCGCATGTTTTATCGCATGACGCAGTCGCTCGCTTCTTAGGTAGAGAGCGGTTGCGTCATCGGTTTGTATAAAAGGCAGTTGTTTTGGCTCGCCGCTCACTTAGCGGTTAGCCACCGTAGAGTCTATATCACCTGAGGATGCCTCGTGTAGAGGCGAAACACGTGTCGTATTATCGTCAGTGGTGTATCTTGCCTAGTGTAGTGGTGTTGGGAGTAGCGGTGCTGGGATTAGTGGTGACGGGGTTAGTGCACGCAATTGAGGGAGGGCGGGAGGTGCTTCTTCATACTAGGTAAGACACATCATTTTATTTTATAACGCGGATATTTGCGAAGTAAATTTTTGTAAAAGCTTTTATATAATGGATTTCCGCAAAGTAACGCCTGATTCTATTAATTACTGTTAATATAGTTTTTTTGTTGTTAGGCAGTTTAGGTAGTTTCGGTCTATTTTCTATAGGTGTATTTTTATATTCCAAAAGAGAACATTCGAAAGTCCTTCTTATATATTCGCTGTCCTGGGAACTCACATCTATATCAAAACAATTTTGCTCTACTTTTTCGTTGTTTAAGTTAGTAATATTTATATTATGGTTACTGTTATTAACATTTAAGTCATCAGACTCACCTGGAAGTGTTCGTTGGGAATCAGGAATTGAATTGATAGAAGATGTTGAGTACTCACTGCAAAGTTGTTCAAGTAATCTGTCATCCAAAATCTTACGACTTAGAATGACACGTACTTGATCTGAAAGTCTTTGGGCAGTTAAGTTTGTTAGGTTGGGCTGTAGCTGTTGGAATTCAGATAGCATTTTAGGGCGATAAGATGTAAGATTGGTTCCTCCTTTGGTAGCCTTATAGTACGCGCACATAACACTTATATTTAATTCTTTAGTCCAGCGCATGCGTCGTCGCACTACACCATCAGTAGCGGGGTCCTCTTGTAGGATGGTAATTCCTGCAGGTCCCAAGCCAGCCGGTGGCGCTCTTCGTCCCCTCAAAGATGGTACGGGGGTTTTTCTTGTGCCTCTAGGATTACATTCCATGGATGTGTAGTCCTCTGTAGGCGATGTTACGTGTGCGATTGTGGTATTGGCGGTATTAATTCGTCTTTGTCGTCTCGCTCGATGCATAATGTAACGTTAAATTAAATATTTTATAAATCTGTTTGTAAAATTTCTTATATGACAGTTGTCAATTTGAAAGAAATACATTTTTTCTTGAAATTATTTTCTTATCCACAGATTTTTAAAGTTTTTATTTATATTGATATTGTAAAATCTATTATTTAATTATTAGTTATTTGGGAACTTGAAACATATGCTACAAAAAATAATTTTTAAGATTTTGTACTGACTGCATCATTTACTTTTGACATTATCATATAATAAGTGATCATTGATAATTCTTTATATGCTTGAAATAAAAACAGTCATATTACGTAACATTTTATATTGTTTGAGTATGTGCGTGCTTGCTTATGTGCTTGCATGCGTGAGTGCATGTACGAGTGCGCGTGTGCGTTGCGTTTTTGCAGAATTTTTTATCCTGGCCGTTAAAATAAATTAATAAGAAATAGTTCTTCAGGCGGGCTTTTTATAGAATGTGTTTTATTAGGTAAACTAATTTAAAGATAATCTTAAAATATTATATTATTTCTTTTTCAGTAAACAAACTACTTCGATGCTTCTCGATCAGACATAATTGGCGAAAGTTGGTAGCTCCTGTAGCAAGTACAAACGAAAAACGGTTTAAGCGTCTTAAAAGTTTCAATGGCTTAAGGTACGAACATTTATTTATTATCCTTTATAGCATTATCTATTGCTAAAGAATAAAAAGTACGGACTAAATGTTACTAGGCACCTTCTATTAGTCTTAATGCCATTAGGTAAGTATTTGACGTAAGTGTAGCAATATAAAAAAAAAGAATGAACAAAAACGATACGCATTAGAAAATAATTTCACAAAATAATGTTGCTATTTCACTAAATATATGTATACATTTTACAGTTAAATAAAAAAAAAGTCACTCCTCCGGCTAGCCTGTATTTACAGGCTAGCCGGAGGAGTGACGTTTTTTTGTGAGTGACTTACAAATGAAAAATTTAGATGCCTTACATTGAGGGTATACGAATAACCCCCATGTATTTTCCGCGATTCTTAGCATATTAGGAGAGGAAATTTTTTAATGATTTTTTTCATAATTTTCACCTGACACCAGTTTTGATTTATTCACTTTCTATTGGACGTTTGTGATTTATTTATTTCTTTGTAATTCATTACCATAATGTCAGATACCAATTTAAAAATTATGGTTTACCTAAACCTTATGGCACATAACTGAAATTGAGTCGAAAGTTCAAAATTACTGTTCGAGCAGAAGTCACAAAACTTCGACTCATAAAAAAAATAAAATTTAAAAATTTCTTCTAAGTGTTTCTAAAAACTGATATGGACCTTCAACAACAGAAACGGTGGTAGAGCCACGCGGCAGCTTTTGCTGTTGCACGTAGGGGCCGGCTCGAGCCGGGTTGGTACCACGACCTCACGGAATACCGGCGTGAAGTGGAAGCTCTGCTTCTGCATTTCGTCTGGTGAGCGTAGTTAGCCATGAACCCAATTCCCCCCCCCCCCATCAACATAGTAGCGGAATTAAATCAAAGACTGCCTCAGTAGAGTACAAGCACCCCTGGAGAAACCCTCGCTTTTGTGTCTCGGGCTGGAGTTTGCGTATACGTTAGATAGGACATTGTTTCTCGACGCCTCTGCAGTCTTTAAGGTTCGGACCTGTACATGCTTTGACTACGCGTAGACAGCAATGACTATCCGTGCGTCTACGGGTGCCTCTATAGGTCTCATAGCGGTAATGCCGAAACAGTCGACCACGTCCAAATAGCTACAGATTCCTTGGCACACATCGACATCCTTGGTGATTTTAACGCTCACCACGCGGAATGCCTCGGTATACGTTTAACCGATCATGCGGGGAGATCTGTATATGACTTTGCCTTGGCATATGGTCTAACATAACTGGTTACTTCACCTACGCGGATTCAAGATGTGGAGGATCATACACCTTCCCTGTTGGACTTTCTGTTGACCTCTCATCCGGACGGATATTAGGTTTCCGTTGATGCCCCTCTTGGCTCTTCATGCCATTGTCTGATCCGGAGTGTGGTGCCCACTCGCGGTTGCGTTCTGCAGGTTGCCGCCGTGTTTGGCATTACGGGTCGGTAGATAGAGACAGAATGCGGTCTTTATTTGCATCCTACCCATGGGGGTAGGTTTGCTTCTCGCCGGATGATCCCAGCGCTGTTGTTGACTCTGTCACTGATGTGGTGCTACAGGGAATGGAACTATTTATTACATCATATGTGGTACCCATCGGAAGCAGATCTCAGCCTTGGTTTGGTCGCTCCTGTAAGACTGCATTACGCAGTAAGCAGGAGTGTTATCCGGCCTGGGCTCAGGCTTTGGCCGTTCGGGATGTAAACACCAGCATGCTTAGAAAAAAGTATAACTTCGCCTCCAGGTCCTTCAAAGGATTTATTGCCAAGGCAAAGTCAGAGTACATAGACAGAATTGGCGAGAAACTAGTTCGCCTTCCTTCGGGAACCCGTGCATTCTGATCTCTCGGAAAGGCTGTTTAAGGGATCTTCTGACAGCCAACTTTTCCATCTCTGCACAGGGAGGACGACTTACTGACCCATGCCGCAAAAGAGAAAGCCGTCTTTTTAAGCTCCCTTTTTACGTCCAACTCGACGCTTGATGACGGGGGAACACACCGCCGACCATGCCGCGATGTGAGTGCTTCATGCCAGATGTGCGGTTCTCACAGAGCACGGTTCGCAAAGTGCTCTTCTCCCTAGATATCGACAAGTGGAGTGGGCCTGCCGGAATCCCCCCAATTGTGCTGAGGACGTGTGCTCCGGAGTTGGCACCGGTTCTAACGCGTCTTTTTGGTACTCCTACTCCCTAAGCGTAGTCCCAAAATCATAGAAGACGGCTTTTGCCCACCCGATCGCTAAAAAAGGCGACCGCTCAGACCCGTCAACTACAAGCCTATCGCCATCACCTTCTTCTTCTCCAAACTAATGGAATCAATTATAAACTGCCAGCTCAGCGGTACCTTGAGGATCACCAGCTGATTAGTGACCGCCAATACGGTTTTCGTCGGGGTCGATCATCTGGTGATCTTCTGGTCTACCTGACTTATAGATAGGCGCAGGCAGTAGAGTCTAAGGGGGAAGCATTGGCCGTTAAGTTGGACATTGCGAAGGCCTTCGATCGGGTCTGGCACAAAGCGCTTCTTTCAAAGCTCCTTTCCTATGGGCTTCCCGAGAAATTGTGCAATTGAATCACCACCTTCCTTGCAGATCGGAGCATCAAAGTCGTTGTAGACGGTGCATGCTCCGACGACAAGCCTATTAACGCTCGTGTTCCACAAGGCTGCGTGCTATCACCAACGCTGTTTCTTCTGCATATCAATGATATGTTGCGAACCGGTTACATTCATTGCTATGCGGACGACAGCACTGGTCATGCTCTATACACTGGCCGTGCCAATATTTCTCGGGAAAACGTCGCCGAGTACCGGGGCAAACTTGTGTCTGAAGTCGAGTCTTTGCTGAACAAAGGCTTGGATTGGGGATGACTATATCTAGTCCAGTTTAATCCCCAGACGACACAAGTTTGCGCGTTTACCGCTAAAAAGAACCCCTTTGTCGTATCTCCTCAGTTTTAAGGCACTCCCCTTGTTGCTTCAGCCAATATCGGAATCCTCGGTGTTGACATATCGAGTGACGTGCAGTTTCGTGGTAACTTGGAAGAGAAGGCCGAATTAGTCTCTAAAAAGCTTGGAGTGCTCAGCAGAGCGGGACAGTATTTCATGCCGGCACATCGTTTATTTTACAAGTCATTACTTTACAAGGCGCAAGTTCGGCCTTAAATGGAATACTGTTCCCAACACTGAAATGGGGCTCCCCAGTGCCAACTCCTTCCACTTGACCGCATCCAGCGTAGAGCGGCCCGAATCGTTGACGACCGAGTCCTTTCCGATCGGCTCGATTGATTGGCGCTGCGAAAAGTTGTTGCATCCCTTTGCATTTTCTTTCGCATTTACCACGGAGAGTGCTCTAAGAAATTGTTCGGATTGTGATGTCAGCAGGTGTTAATGAAAGAGAAGACGTGTTGCTGAGACTAATTCTTTAATTATACTAATCAATAATCTTAAGAGTACATGTATTTCTTACACTACTAGTAGGGTGGAGGCATATACACTACACCTCCCCCGATATTTAAGAAAAAAAAGAAAAGTGTTCTATTTACTTTTTTTTACATGTTATTTTCTTGACAGATATAATAAAAATGATTAATGATTACATGTAATATTTAATTATTATATTATATGAACCCTGAATCTTATTACATAATAATAAATTTAATATTGAAAATTAAAATGAAATACAATGTTACTTAACCATTAAATTTATATAATTCTTCAATTGAGTAAAATAAAGCAGTTAAAAAAAATATAAAATTAATTCATTAAAAAAAAGATTATAATCTCATGATCATGATCAGGTCAGGTTATACATAATATTATCGAGTCAATCCAGGATACGCATGCGATTTTATTTAGTACGTCATTAAACCTGTCAATTTTTGGTACTAACCAACGTTACAACAACATGTTAACATTTTCAAGTAGGTATATAGGTGGGCAACAATAATAATGCGTTTTGCAATTAACTTGACATCATATTATGTGTACTTTTTATCCTTTCTAAAACCCTGATGTCTACGAAAAGTTCTCATTGACTTTTTAGCATTTCCATCATACTCGTTTGTGCACCCGACTATCACTGAAATAGCTAATTATCTATCAGATTGTTTTAGCTTGTGCTTTACCTATTAATATTCCAACATTTTTTTTTCATTGCTGAAATAAATTAATATTTCAATTTACTCCAACCAATGTGTAGTATAAAACACTCACTGAATTTATTTTTATCAGTCAAATCTCTCAATAAATTATACTTAAATCCTTGCCATTCAACACAAAACTTTGAGTATCTTAACCCGTCTTATCACATTAGTTAAATAAAAGAAAAAAGAACTTGCCAAGGAATTACCTATTACAAGTGTTGGAAATAGGTTTTATTATGATCTGCCTAGATGGTCATTTAATATTAAAATATTCGAATCAAATTGCAAAACTGATCTATATTTTCTTAAAAGATCGCGACCGATGCTACCATTCGTCATAATTGGTAACGAATTAAAAACATAAAACTTGTGCTCAATAATTAGATCGCTTGTGTCCAATTGTTGAAATACAACATACATTTTCCGATAATTAGGCAATATAATAAGTATAAAATATTTTTTTTTTTTACTATTTACAGGCATTACAAATTTATATCATATATTCATATAGTCTCGTATAATATTTAGATATATCGTTGTCAGTCAGGGCTTGAGGCTCACAACAAAATTTTAATTAATTAATTGCAAACATAGTATAATGAGTTTCAAAATCGTATTAAATAAAGTAATTGTTTTCATAATCCATACAACTAAGTTGGCATTACTCTATTATTATCCCAGAAAATAATAAATTGTAATAGATGAAAGTTTATGATTTGAAAGTTCAATCAATATTATACCTAAATAATTTATTACATTTCATATTTAGATATCCAGAAAAAGAAGTCAATGCAAAGCAACGTACCTAATCATTTTCGTTAACATAACAACAGACAGATCAAAATACATGTGCT